AAATGCCTGATCTTTGATAAAGAAGCAAAAATATCAAATGGAAAAAAGAAAGCATATTTAACAAGAGGTGCTGGCATAACTGGATATCAAAATGTAGAAGAATGAAAATACACCCATATCTATTACCATGCACAAAACTCAAGTCCAAATGCATCAAAGACCTCAACATAAAGCCAGCCACACTGAACCTTAGAGAGGAGAAAGTGGGAAGTACACTTGAATGCATTGGCACAGGGATCCACTTCCTAAATATAACCCCAGCAGCACAAATACTGAGAAAAACAATTAATAAATGGGACCTCCTGAAACTGAAAAATCAAAGAACGTGGTCAAAAAGACAAAATGACAGCCTACAGAATGGGAAAAGATCTTCACCAACCCCACATCAGATAGAGGTCTGATCTCCAAAATATACAAAGAACTCAAGAAATTGGTCATCAAAAGAACACATAATCCAATAAAAAATGGAGTAAAGACCTAAACAGAGAACTCTCAATAGAGGAATCTAAAATGGCTGAAAGACACTTAAGGAAATGTTCAACATCCTTAGCCATCAGAGATATGCAAATCAAAACACCTCTGAGATTCCATCTTACACACCTGTAAGAATGGCCAAAATAAAAAACACTGATGACAACTTATGTTGGAGAGGTTGTGGGGGAAAGGGAACACTTCTGCATTGTTGGTGGGAATGCAAGCTGGTACAGCCCCTTTGGATGTCAGTGTGGCAATTTCTCAGAAAATCAGGAAATAACCTTCCTTAAGACCCAGTAATACCACTTTTGGGTATATATACAAAGGATGCTCAATCGTGCCACAAGGACATGTGCTCATCTATGTTCATAGCAGCTTTGTTTTTCATAGCCAGAACCTGGAAACAACCTAAATGCCACTTGACCAAAGAATGGATAAGGAAAACGTGGTACATTTACAAAATGGAGTACAACACAGCAGAAAAAAATGCCATCTTGAATTTTGCAGGCAAATGGATGGAGCTAGAAAACATCATTTTGAGTGAGGTAACCCAGATACAGAAAGACAATTATCACATGTCTCACTTATATGTGGTTTTTAAACATAAAGCAAAGAAAGCCAGCCTACAAACCACAATCCCAGAGAACTTAGACAACAATGCAGACACTAAGAGAGACTTACATAGATCTAATCTATATGGGAAATAGAAAGTAGAAAAAGACAAGATCTCCTGAGTAAATTGGGGGCATGGAGACCTTGGGGGAGGATTGAAGAGGGAGGGGGGAGGCAGGAAGGGGAGCAGAGAAAAATGTAGAGCTCAATAAATATCAATAAAAAAGAAATGGAAGAAAAGATAAACAAAAAACTGGAAAAAAATCAACAAATTTTGTAAATAAAACCAAGAAAAGCAATTAAACAGATGAAAGAGAAAGTTAAAGACTTAAAAAATGAAATAGAGGATACAAAGAAAACACAATCTGAGGAAACTATGGAAATGGAAAATCTGGGTAAAGATCATGAACTACAGATACAAACATATACAACAGAATTTAAGAGATGGAAGAGAGAATCTTAGTCATTGAAGATATGATAGAGGAAATAGATTCATCGGTCAAAGAAAATGCTAAATCCAACAAATTCTTAATACAAAATATCCAGGAAATCTGGGACACCATGAAAAGACCAAATTTAAGAATAATAGGGATAGAAGGAGAAGTCCAGTTTAAAGGTAAAAAAAAAATATATTCAACAAAATCATAGAAGAAACATTTCCCAACCTAAAGAAGGACATACATATAAGAGCACAAGAAGTTTACAGAACACCAAATGGACTGGACAGATTAGATACAAAAACAGAATACACCCTTCTGCTGGATACAAGAAACACACCTCAACTACAAAGACCATACTTCAGAGTATAGGGTTGGGAAAGCCTTACTTCAGAGTATAGGGTTGGGAAAAAATTTTCCAATCAAATGGACTCAAGAAACTAGCTGGTTATCCTAATATGTAACAAAGTAGACTTCGGAGTAAAATTAGTCAAAAGAGATGAAGAAGATCATTTCATATTTGTCATAGGAAAAGTCCATCAAGATGAAGTCTTAATTCTGAACATCTACGCCCCGAAACAGGGGCTCTCCCAAAACAAGGGATTCCCCAATTGTAAAAGAAATCTTGCTAAAGCTTAAATCACACATCACACCCAACACACTAATAGTCGTAGACTTCAATACCTCACTCTTACCACTGAACAGACAGAAACTTAACAGAGAAATAAAGAAACTAACAGATATTAAGCCACAAATATGCCTAACAGACATCTATAGAACATTTCACCTAAGCACAAAAGAATATTCCTTTCTCAGCACCCCATGAAACCTTCTCAAAAATTAACCACATACTCAGTAACAAAGCAAACCTCAACAGATACAGAAAAACGAAATAACCTCCTGCATCTTATTGAATCACCATGGTTTAAAATTAGAATTTAACAGTAACACTAATTGCAGAAAGCCTACATACTTATGGAAATTGCACAGTGCTCAATTGACCCATCCCTTGTTCAAGGAAGAAATAAAGAAATAAATTAAAGACTCAAAAAATATTGGCAAACCAAATCCTAGAATACATAAGAAAAATCATCTACCATGACCTAGTAGACTTCATCCCAGAAATACAGGGATAGTTCAATGTATGAAATTCCATTAATGTAATCCACAATATAAACAAACTGAAAGAAAAAAAACATGATTATCTCATTAGATGCTGAAAAAGCCTTTGATAAATTCAACACCCCTTCATGATAAAGGTCTTGGAGAGATCAGCAATACAAGGAATACACCTAAACATTCCTTTTTATTTTTTGAGAAAGAGTTTTCTGTGAAACAATTCTGGCTGTTCTGGAACTCTCTTTGTAGACCAGGCTGGCCTTGAACTCACCAAGATCTGCCTGGTCTCTGCCTTCCAATTGCTGGGATTAAAGGCGTGTGCCACCACATGGCATTTTTTTTATCCACAAATAACATAAAATATCTTGGCATAACTCTAATTGAACAAATGAAAAACATGTATGACAAGAACTTTAAGTCTTTGAAGAAAGAAATTGAAGAAGACATCACAAGACGGAAAAATCTCCAATGCTTTTGGGTAAGTTGAATTAACATAGTAAAAATGGAAATCTTATCAAAAGCAATCTAAAAATTCAATGCAATCTTCATCAAAATCCCAACACAATTCTTCACAGACCTTGAAAAAGAACAATACTCAACTTCATATGGAAATACAAAAAGCCCAGGATAGTCAAAACAACCCTGTATAATAAAGGAACTTCTGGAGGCATCACCATACCTGAATTCAAACTACAATAGAGCCACAGTAATTAAAACAGCTTGGTATTGGCATAAAACAGACAGGTGGACTAACGGAATAGAATTGAAGATCCTGATGTTAATCCACACACTTATGGACACCTGATTTTTGACAAAGAAGCTAAAAGTATTCAATGGAAAAAAGAAAGCATCTTCATCAGATGATGCTGGGATAACTGGATGTTGACATGTAGAAGAATGCAAATAGATCCGTATCTATTCTCATGTATAAAACTCAAGTCCAAATGGCCCCAAGATCTCAACACAAAACCAACCACACTGAACCTCACAGAAGAGAACGTGGGAAGTAGCCTTTAACACATGGTCACAGGAGACCACTTCCTAAATAGAACCCCAGTAGCACAGACACTGAGAGCAACAGTTAATAAATGGGACCTCCTGAAACTGAGAGGCTTCCGTAAAGCAAAGGACACAGCCAACAAGATAAAACGACAGCCTACAGAATGGAAGAAAAAAATCTTTAACAACCCCACATCTGACAGAGGACTGATCTCCAAAATATACAAAGAACTCATAAAACTAGACTTCAAAAGATCAAATTATCCAATAAAAAATTGGGGTGCAGATCTAAACAGAGAACTTTCAACAGAGGAATCTCAAAAGGCTGAAAGACACGTAAGGAAATGCCATCAGAGAAATGGAAATCAAAACAACTCTGAGATACTATCTTACTCCTGACAGAATGGCCAAGATCAAAACACTGATGACTACTTATGCGTAAAGGGAACACTTCTCCATTTGCCGATGGGAGTGCAGAGTTGTGCAGTCACCTGGAAATCAGTAAAGTGATGTCTGAAAATTGGGAATCAATCTACCTCAAGACCCAGCAATACCACTTCTGGCATACACCCTAAGGATAACCACTAACACTAGAAGGACATTTGGTCAACTATTTTCATAGTAGCATTAGTTGTAATAACCGGAACCTGGAAATACCCTAGATGCCCCTCATCTGAAGGATGGAAAAAGAAAAGGTGCTACATTTACACAATGGAGTACTACTCAGGGGTAAAAAACAAGGACATCTTCAAATTTGCAGGCAAACGGACAGAAAGGAAAAGCCATTCTGAGTGAGGTAACCCAGGCCCAGAAAGATAAATACAATATGCACTCACTCGTAAGCAGATATTAGACACGAAGCAAAAGATAAACAGCCTACATGCCACCACCCCAGAGAACCTCGGTAACAAAGAGGACTCTAAGAGAAACATATGTGGATCTGCCTAGGAAGGGGAGAAAAGACAAGATCTACTAAGTAAATTAGGAGCATGCAAGGCAGGGGAAAGGTAGAAGGGGAGAAGAAAGGAGGGAAGGGGAGTGGGGAAAAAGTATACCACAATCCTATTTATACAATTAAAATGAGAAGGATTTTAAATATACTATTTTCCTTTTCCTTGCTAAACAATTCAATTTTGAGCAAAGTTACACAGGGCAAAGCAGGGTAGGTGTCTATAGTAGGGTCAGGTGTGGGGAACCAATGATCTCCCCGTGCAGAGGACTGGCTGGCTTCATGGCAGAATTGGAACAGTGAGGGGGACATATGTCTTGACGAGACAGTGAGTCCACAAGCAGCAGCCTGATGTGAGACCTCAGAGTCTGAGAGGTGACGAGGGCAGCCATGTCCGAGAGTGGGCAGCCATGTCCGAGAGTGGGCAGCCATGTCTGAGAGTGGGCAGCCATGTTCTAGAGTGCGCAGGTTCAGAGAGTCTGAGCTCAAGTAGGGTGAGAAGTTGTCCATGCTTGAGGCCACTTCTCACCAGAAACCAGAACCCTAAATGAGTGAGCAGAGGGTCCTCAGGGACAGCCTGGTGTGACCCATCAGTATAGCACAAATAAGAAAAAACCTAGAGACAGATACTGGGGTTAAAGCTGAAGATCAGAAAAGCAAAGTGGCCAAGTACTGGCTCTTACCTCTTCTCAGACCGAAATGGGCGATCCTACCTCCAGGAATCCTCAGATGAGCCTGAGCCTGCACTGAGCTCCTGCCTTATCGTTCTCTCTAGTGCTGGGATTAAAGGCACGTCATCACCAATGCTGGGATCAAAAGTGTGCTGGAATCTTTTAGAATGATTCCCTCTCAGTGGCCTTGAGTCCTGGGATTAAAGGTGTGCACCACCACTGCTTGGCCTCTAGGGCTAACTAGTGTGGCTGCTTTGCACTTTGATCTTCAGGCAAGCGTTATTTATTAAAACACAAATAATATACCACTATACTTCAGCACTTGGAAGAGGTAAGAATGGACCCCACTGCACTGTGTTGGCTCCAGGTCAGGCTGGGATCTGGGTACTCAGCAGGCCAAGGGGATGAGGGTAAATCAGGAACCAGGCAAGGTACAGAGTGTGGGAGTGGAAAACACAAGGTGGAACTCAGTGACTTTAAGGAAAAAGAGGAAATTTTTGCTGGGTGTGGAGGAACTGGGCTGTCACAGCCCGGGCAGGAGAAAGGAAGTATTCTTGTATTAAACAGAGCTGTTGTGGGTTCCAGAGACTGAGCAGGGTGAAGACACTGTCCCCATGAGGTGGGACAGTCTAGGGTGCATTCAAGGTCCCTTTGGGTTGAAGAATGTTTCTGTCCGTGGGGCCGACTTGAACGTGGTGTTAAAGCCCCAGGGAGGTCAATGGGTAGCTCTTCAGGAATCAGGAGTAGGAATCTCAGTGCAAGATGAGACATGGAGACTTTATTGTAGAGGTTAGCTGAGACTGAGAGTCAGAACCTCAACACCATGAGGAGCTTGACTTCTCCAATGGCCTGGTTCCTCTTTTCCATTCCTTCCTGTTCCCCCCACCCCAACTTGGTATCGTTATGATTGTACAATGGTTCTGGGTGCATTCTCCACCTGAGATTCTCCCTGCAGGTCAGGGGACTGGACATCTTGCTGCACGCTCAGGGCAGCTTCCATTACTGCCTCTCATCCCTAGCTGATATCGGAATAATTTGCTGCAGCCTTTATTTCTTGTTCAAGGCCTATTTTACAGAAGGGGGACACTCATCTTCTGAGGGCAGGGGAAGATTTTCAGAAAACATTTATATTAACATGAACCTCAAAAATAAGTTCTCTTCCTCAGACATCAACGCAGACCCTCCTCCAGGTAAGAAGTCCTTTTCTGCTGTTCCTAGTCAGTGATGAAGTAAAGGACAAAGATAAATGATCTTAGTTTTTTTTGCTGTGCCTCTTGGTCACTAGAGTCACAACCAAGTGTGCTGCTTATAGACAGATGTGAAAGGTTGTGGGATTGTACAGTGGAAAAGAGAAGGTGTTGGTTTTTACGATCTAGAGAAAATCACACCACCCATGTATTGTATCTTTTCCACATATAAATACACATAAATGTGTGTAGCAAGTTGCTTCAACAGTTGATGCATGGTCTACTGATTTCCCCTCTATTGGTAACAGGTCAGTCTGTTGGCATCTAAGTCCTGAGTAGCTTCTTTCACTCATCTCCCTCTAGTGATGGGGACAGAGCCCAGAACCTCACGCATGCTTGGAAAGTATTGCAACTCTTTTAGAAGTGGTGACCAAAAAGATGCTGACTTTGTCATAAAATGTGAGGGACACCAAGACTTCCTGACTTTCACACACTTTGAAGTATGAAGCAAGCTGGAAGACTTTAAACGTATATAATGCAAAACGATGCAACCTCTATGAAACTGATAAAGAAGACATGATGATATTGAAAATGTTCATTCAGATGCGCGGTAGCAAGCCTGTAATCACAAACTCAGGAGGCTGAGACAGGGGTTGCCATGAGATTGTGACCAGCTTGGGCTACATAATGAGTTCAAGGTCAGCCTGGGGTACATACCAAGACCCAGGCTCAAAAATAAAACAAAGAAATCATAACAGAAAAAAGTGATGTCAAAGAAAAAGCTAGTCACAAATCAGTATTTAAGATGCTCCAATTGTATAGACTATAGATTTATATGTAAAAGCTTTAAACTTTTTGGAAAGATACATGCCAAAATACTGACCACAATCATTCTCAATGTCAGGAATGATTTTGTAAGTATTTGAGTGATTTTGTAAGCATTTAATATTTTTATAATTAACATGACCATTTCCTTTTTTCATTTTCCTATTATTTCAAACATCGTGTTATTTGTGTTTATCCTGTATAAAAACAGAGGAAGATGAAATAGATACAGAACTCAGGACATGAATTTGGTTTGTGTTTCAGCTCCTCAAAACAAGATCATGTCTCTTAAAGGTAGTCATAGATGCAAGATCATCCTCACCTCGTTCATAATATTTTTTCTGCTGTTGAAAATCTTACTCTCCATTGTTCTGCTCAGTAAGTACACCTGTGGTACAAGTAGCAATGAGAAGGAAGGGGACCCATTAGACAGAAGGTTACCCAGAAACCTGAGACAGGAACCCCCTCGGGAGATGGACGACATTGGGAATTTCTCTGCTTCAGAATAACTCTTCTGCAAAAGTCATTTCTTCTGAGTAGAAAAGCAAGTGTGTGTTTTTGGTGTCACAGAGTGAAATTCCAGGGCATCAGTGTTAGACTCCAGTACTGAGTATAAACCTGTTTTCTCAGCAGCATTTAGAAGACAGCCCCTTCAGATGCATAGATACTTACATTTGGGATTGATCAGGGTGATGAGAAGAGATGACAGAGCTACTCCAGGGACAGAGCTCCAGGGGATTTCCTTCTAATCATTCATTTTTTCCCAGACTGTGTGAGACCTGAAATCTAATTTAGAAAAATAGTGAATTTCTCAGCAGATAGCCTTTCAAATTTATAAAAATTAAAAATCATAAACTATATTTTAATGTAGGTGTTATATTCATTCATTCAATAATTAGTACCATCCATTTACTATATACTGGGCAGCATGTCAGAGTCCAGAAAGAGCTGCAGCCCCAGTCTCAGGAAACGTAGAGAATAGTCACGTGAAGCAGTGCTTAAAAGCTCGCAGGGGAAATGCTGTGCAGGTGAGAAGTGAGCCCAGGAGGCTAAGGAAAGCTTGGAGCAGATGACGCCTAGACCTGTGTGCCAACAATGCCAGAGACACGGGGGAGCATGGGAAATAAGGGCAAGTATAGGTTGCATTACTGTACCGTGTAGTGCTACACGGATAACTGAGCACGGAACTGTAGGGACAGACAAAACTGGACTCAGATCATAAAGTCATACATACCATGTTTCACAGATATCCTTTCTAAATGTTATTTTATTTAGTATCTGTAGCTGAACCCTTAGCCAACTTAAAACTTACTAGGTTAGTTTAGCTATTTATTTAATTCTTTCTTGGTGGTGTCACCAAGCCTAGTCTCTCTTGGGAGATTCCCATGGTCCGAGGTGAACTTACTCATCCTCATGGAGTCATGCATCAGTTCAACTCAGCTTCCCATGACAACCTCAGACTTGCAGGACAGATGGTGGCAGTGCATACACATTTGTTCTTGTGTATCTTAGTGGCCAAAGAAAATTTTAAAGGTATCTCGGACAACGTGATGTAGAAATAGACCCAGTTCATTGATGAGGGAACTGAAAAGACATAGTCCAAGTGGATATTCATATCAGGAAGATGGAAAAGTGTGTGCAGATTTGCAATGTGCCAAGTCATGGAGACCGACTGAAGAATCTGCAGCAGGACATGATAAAATTAAAACTGTCTTAGAGACAAGTGCTCTTACTGAGGTGTGAAAATGAAGGGAGGGAGAAATTAGGAAGCTAATTCAGAATCCATTTGGGCAAACAGTTTTGTAAATTAGCAGAAGTGAAAGTCAGAATCTAGGGACTCAAGGAACAAGTGGAAGATGAGGAAGAGAAAAAAGAAAATTGAATTTCTAGCACTTAGGTGAGTTAGTTTTAAGTTAGGAACACCATGGAAGTGTGGGGACAGTGAGAAGTGTCGAGGGAGCATAAAGAAAAGAAGGGGATGAAGACAAAGTCCTTCTGTGTCAGGCTCTTTATAACTTCCGTGCGCGGGAAACCTGGAACTTCTCAGAATTTGATCATTTCTCCCTCCCCTTTCCCGGGCTATACACATATTGCATAGAATTTATCACCTAAGATGTAGTCTTTAGTGTGCCCTCCATTAAATGTTGGAGAGACCCTAGGGTCATGTATCTGTGATATATGTGGTCATAAATCACTAGGAGCAGGGTTACCCTGACTATGGAGTGAGGAAAAATTGTCTTTTCTTGTGGTAAGGTCTCATGTAGGCCAGGCTAACCATGAGCTAACTAAAGCAACCAACCAACTAACTCAACTAAGTAGTTAGGCAGTCAACTAAACCAACTTGTATAGTTAAGTATGACCTGAAACTTCTCTTCCTCATTCTAATTCCCAAGTTCTAGGGCCACAGCCACCACATTCCATGGTGATGGGGAATCTTTCCCAGGCAGCCTCTAACTACTCAGGTAATTGGACATTTATAGATTTTGTTTCTACAAAGAAAGGAAGAAGGTAAAAGCAGAGAGTCTAGTCTTAGCACTACCAGAAAAATGAATGGTTTTTATTTTGTTTTACAGTTTTGTTTAAAAAATATTCTCAGCTTCTTGAAGAAAAAGCAATCATAAAAGAACTGAACTTTACAGGATTGGAGTGTACGAAAAGGCATTCACTCTTGAAAGGTAAAAGTTAACGTGCCTAGAATCAGCATTTCCAACAAGATTCTCGGGTAGATCTGCCAGCAATGGGCACTGTGGGGACACATCATACAGCACACTCAGTACCAGCTGTCTGGGGAGTTCTTTTCAGAGGTCTCCAGTCAGGCAGGATTGGGCCATGTGGATCCGTAGTGTCAATGAAGAAGAGTGTCAAGGCAGGAGAGCCAATGCCAGGCTGAATTGAATTTCATCAGGCACAGAAAGGATGAAGCAGATCTGATGGTGTGAATGTGAGCATCTCTAGGGAGTCATCTCAAATGTGTGTTTAAGATTTTATTTTTAATTTGAAATATGTTTATGTGCAAGTGTCTGTGTGTGGGCTTGTGTATGTGAGTGCAGTGCCTGCAGAGGGCATAAGAGGGCGTCAGGTCTCTGGAGCTGGAGTTACTTGTGATGGTGAGCCATAGGTCGTGGGTCCTGGTAACTGAACTCCAGGCCTCTGCGAGAGTAGTACAGTTTTTATGTTTTATTTAATTGATTTTATTGAGCTATATATTTTTGTCTGCTCCCCCTTTCCTTCTGACTCCTCTTCTACCCTCATTCTCCCTGCACTCCCAAGTTACTCAGGATATCTTTTTCTACTTTCCATTTAGATTAGATCCATGTATGTCTCTCTCCTAGAGTCCTCATTGTTGTGTAGGTTCTCTGGGAAGAGCAGTATACTTTTAACCACTGAGTCATTTCTGTAGTTCCTCAAGAGTTTTCTTAAGTATGTGTGTGATGATCTTGTTGCTTTCTCAGTTATAGTGTTATTTATTTATTTATTTATTTTTTGGTTTTTCAAGACAGGGTTTCTCTGTGGTTTGGGAGCCTGCCCTGGAACTAGCTCTGTAGACCAGGCTGGTCTCGAACTCACAGAGATCCGCCTGCCTCTGCCTTCAGTTATAGTGTTTACAAAGAGAAATTTATTCAAGATTTTAATAGGGATTTTGTTTTCTCATAAACTAAGCTGGAAGGTGGACTCATGACGGCGTATGGCTGAGGTTTAAGGAAGAGAGGGGAGTGATGGAGGAAGGTCATTGGTTAAGTAATAAAGAAACTGCTTGGCCTCATAGGTTAAAACATAGGTGGGAGGAGTAAACAGAACAGTATGCTGGGAGGAAGAGGAAGTGAGCTCAGAGATGCCATGCTCCCCTCTCCAGGGCAGACGCAATAGCTATGCTCTCTGAGGCACATGCAATGAACTCCGACCCAGGATGGACGTAGGCTAGAATCTTCCTGGTAAGGGCACCTTGTGGTGCTACATAGATTATTAGAAATGGGTTAAGAGGTTGAAACTAATGGGCCCAGCAGTGTTTAAATGAATACAATTTGTGTGTTGTTATTTCAGAGCATAAGCTAGCCAGGTGGCCGGGGTGCTGGGGATGCAGCCCCGCCGTTCCTATTACTACAGAATGGTGCCCAACGTGGGGCAACTGAATCCACTGAAAGTCTGAGAAAGCTTGGGAAAGAGTAAAGCATGTTTTCTTGGTAGCAGCGATTTCTCGGTTCTGCTCTGCTTGCTAGAGGCAAGCAAGCGCTCTCATTTAAAAGAGGCTTCCTGACTCAGCTTTAGCTGCAAACCCCTGCAGCTCATTAAGAGTTCCTGCCAGGAAACAAATGATGTTGACGAAAAGCTGAACGCATGCTTTTCAGTTTTCAGCCATAGCAGGAAAAAAGCTGAGCCATTTTAAAATGCCGGCTTTCTGGTCCATCCTGCCAGGGCAAACTCTGACTGTTTGAGTCAGGAGGGCCAGCTACAGAGAGAGGACTTGAGTGTTGTCTGTTGCAGCTTGTTTGATGGCAAGGACCTTGAAACACTGTAGACTTGTGGCAAAGAATGTGGCTCTGGCCGGTACCTCAGCCACAAGGTTGGAATGGCAGAAAGCTAAGGAATGGGCTACATCTAGCCATCAAAGCCATGGCTTTAGTCCTACTGATATTGCTTGGTAAATTAAAGACTCATGTGGTCAGAAAAAGAGAGATATACAGTAAAGAGAGATTCAGAGACAAAGAAAATTTTTAAATGATTTACAGTGTATTAAAAATATATGCAAGCTAAAAGTTCTTAAAAGTAAAAAATGGAAGAAAGAGAGTAGTTGGGTGTGGTAGTACACACCTTTAATCCCAACACTTGGAAGGCAGAGGGAGAGTGACCTGTGTGACTTCAAGGTGTGGTAGCACAGGCCTTTAATCCCAGTGCCTAGAAGGCAGAGACAACAGATCTCTGTGAGTTCAAGGTGTCCTAGCATACACCTTTAATCACAATGCCTGGGAGGCAGAGACAGGCGGATCTCTGAGAGTTCAAGGACAGCCTGGTCTACAGAGTTATTCCAGGTCAAAGATACAGAGAACCTGTCTCAAAAAGCAAAAAATAAAAGTAAAAATAAACAAAATAGAGGTTAAAATAAAGCGCACAAAGATGGAAAATACACAGAGAATCTTGATACTGTATGCTATTATGCTCTCTTTGAATTGTTTGAATGCTGAGGAAGGAGCAACAGCAGCTAAAAGATATTTGTCTATAAATGCTGCTGAACTAATCAAACATAGATATTTTGAAAATGCCTTGACTTTGAAATTTGGATCTAAGGACATGATGCTTTGGAAAGGAGTTTCTTATTTTGTTTTCACAGAGGGTGAGAGTCTGTGGATTG